ACTACAGTTTAATGCATTACTCCATTAATTAATAACACATATTCCCATTGTACAGACTATATATAAAATTGCTGATTATAGAAGCCTCATATTGTCCAGTTTAAGCCACCTAACAATCTTCTCTCTGTTTGGCTGATGTCTTTTGCAGTCAGAACACTGTAAGTCAGTGCAGATGCACTACAGCTCAGTAACTGTTTGATAATACCTATTTAGGCTGAGAGCTGTTGATTCCTTGACATCCCAAATCATCTAACGTTGTTGGTGAATGTTATTAGCTGTCCTAAATTCTTCCAAGACATCTAGGAAAATTCAAAACCATACAGTGATAACTGAGTTTTTCCTCACTGCGGGGCTGCTGCTGCCCGTGGCTCCGCTCCCTCTGACCCCTCTCTCCGTCTGCTTTCCAGGCACATCACCCTGTGGCACGTGGTGATCGGGGCCACCCGGTTGACTCAGCTGGGCCCTGAGGCCCAAGGGCGCCATATTAAGCGGCTCCTGGTTCACGAACACTATAGTAATACCTTGGAGAGGGACGACATTGCCTGGCTGGAATTGGACGCGCCTGTCCAGTGCAGTTCCTACATACTGCGTGCGCGACGCCTCGCTGAGAGTGTCAGAGCTGAGACCCTGCTACATCAGTGGCCGGGGTTCCACAGCTGCAAGATGTGAGTTCCCCAAAAGTACCCGTGTCCTGAGTGCAAGCTTGGCACGCTGGGGAGATGGGTTGGGTCTGCTGAGAGCCCTGGTGAAAGCCAGAGTCAGGCTGGGGGATGTATGCCTACAGGGAGATGGGCCTGAGCAAGAGAGAAGGGGAACACGGGCACAAGGCCTCTCGAGATGCAAAGCCAAGCCCGTGGGAAGGGGCTCAGCCAGTCAGGGGAGGAGATCTGGCAAGGAGCTGCTGCCTGTTAATTGCTTTCTGTGCTCCCAGCTGGAGGATCAGCTGATGTGCCGCAGGAGGCCAAGGTCTGCCTCATGGATGTCAGCCTCTGCAAGAGCAGCTGGTGGTCCAGAGGGACCATCCACGCCCACAGGCTGTGTGCCGGCTGTGCGCAGGGTGGCATCGACCCCTGCCAGGTATGGGCGTGCTACAAGTCACCCCCAGCAGCACCGGCAGCCCCGGCAGCACCCCCCCAACAACACCCCGCGCGTGTCT